TCCATTCATCCAAATTAGGCCTTAACATGCTTGAATTGCATGAATTATGCTCTCTTGCTCTATTGGCCTACAAAACACACAAAGGGAGGGAAATAACTTAGAATTATAGGAACTAAGCAAAAGAAGTAAGTAAATTGGGCATGTATATGTATGAAATTATGAGCTTAACACTTGCTGCTCCAGCTTCTTTGTGATTTGACCCTTTGTTTATGCCCAACGGCCACATGTCTTTGGGCTTGTTGGGATTGACAAAGGAGGTCTTGTCTACTCTTGAACTTTCCTTGGGTCTGTTGACCATCTTCTCTTTTTCGACTAATGTAGTGAACTCTGCAACAAAATTTGCTACAGCCTGGGCTTTTATAGCAATCTTTAGCCAGTAGAGGAGGTCGTACTGACTTAATCTGATAGCCCACTTTATGAGTCGCTAAGAAGCGGTGGGACTATGAAGAATTGATCTCAGGAAATTCTATCATGACGATGATTCGGTGAGCTTGGTAGTAGGGTCTCAACTTTCTTGCGAAAACTACAAGTGACAAAATGACCCTCTCCATTTTTGGATAGTGAGTCTCGGCATTGAGAATGGGTTTTGACGTATAAAATACCGGATGTTGTGCCTCCAGCTCTTCTCAGATGAGAGCTGAGCTGACTTCTGAGTATGACACCTCCAGGTAGATGAACAAATCTTTTCCTGGTACTGGTTTTGAGAGCAGGGGAGGAGAAATGAGGTAGATCTTCAAGTTTTGGAAAGCTACCTCGCACTCTTCATCCGACTTGTCTCATTGTTCTTTCTTCAAGGTTTTGAAGAATGGCATGCATTTGTCAGTGGATCTTGAAAGGAATTGGTTGAGAGCTGTTGCTTTGCCTGTTAGACTTTTTATTTTCCTCGTTATGGCACATGACTTCATGTTGAGGATGGCCTTGATTTGATTTCAATGTGCTTCGATGCCTTTTTGGGTGACCAAGTATACCAAAAATCGGCTGAATGAGACTCGAAATGTGCACTTTCTTGGGTTTAACTTCATGTGGTACTTTTGAAGCACGCTGAATGCTTCGACAAAATTCTTGATGTGGTCTGCTCGTCGAGTAGCTTTGACTAGCATATCATCTATGTATACCTCTATAGTCTTGTCGATCTGCTCCTTGAAAATCTTGTTCACAAGCCTCTGGTATTTTGCTCCAGAGTCCTTTAGCCCAACGAGCATGACTTTACAGCAATATGTGCCTCTTTCAATTATGAAAGAAGTCTTAGATTTATCGTCCTTATGTATCATGATTTGATTGTAGTCGGAGTAAGCATCCATTGCTAAGTCGTAAAAGGGTACTAAAAAGCATAAAGAATTAAATTACGGATCAATACATGTTAAGGTTCATGTTTGTAGGTGCTTCATGTGTTTTGAGATTGCATTATTTGATTATAGATGGCCTGTTTTTAGAAAAGGAGAGCAGTGCTTGTCTATAATTTGTTTTGTCTAATCACTTTTCACTGTAGCTTGAAGGGAAGGACTTAATTGTTTTAAACTCATGGCCAATAAAGATTATCAAACTTTTGCAATACAGAAGCTTAGTGCTCTAGTGCTTGATCTAGTAGGAGAATGTTATATTCCTATTTAGATCGGTGCACTATATGCTAAGTTATATCATGTTTGATAAGAGTTTAAATTAGGTTATACCTTGAAACCCAGAACCTTGTGAAATAAGGAAAGTTTTGAAGCCAATTAAAGGGGTCCTATTTATTTCCTTTTACTCGAACTGTTGCTTGATGGGCTTAAAGTGTTTGTCAAGTCGACCCTTGGTGGTGAGTAGAGACGACTTGACCTAGCCCTATATAAGCTCAAGACCCTGCTCTCATCAGACACGTTAACCCTAATCTCATCATTAAGAGAGAGCTGAAACAGTTTCTGAGAGAGAGCAGAAGTCTTGAGCCGTTAGTGCCTTTTGCTCGTGTTGTTCCTGCGATTGAATGAGTTTAGGGATCATGTACCCAAGGAACACAGCCCCGGGTATGTCTTCTATGTATTTCATATTGTGTGAAAGATCATGGACACTATAGAAATCTAACACTCACATCCCACAATCTTATAAACAATCTTATACCCATTCAAAGCGATGTACTTTCACTGACGTAATTCCAAATTTGCATCACTTAAACAAAGAATAAAATAAGTAGTTTTGAGGCTGTAATTTAAGTGGTTAAGAGCGTTTACCCTTTCAACGGAGGTCTTAGGTTCGGTTTCCCCTTCCCCCAATATACGTTGTATATAAATAAAATAAAATAAAATAAAAAAAAGATGTTTTGAGAGGGGTTGTATTTGAACCAGCAAAGTTATTTTACATTAAAATCAATTTTTACTCTTATTATTCATTTCGAAAGGACCACAATTTTGTCCTGTATTTGGGGTATGGTTTATTCTAAGTCTCCACCACACAAAATGTGGCCAGAAAAATATGGCTAGACAGCCTAGACCTTTGAAAATGTTCCTCCACGAAGCCATAACCATCCATGGCGTTTCCAGCTGCTCTCAGTCTCAGTACTGCATCTCTCTCATCAATCTCAAGCCATCCACACTCTCATCTCCTCCCTTCTCATCAAATTAACTGCAGCTTCTTCTCTCCCTCTCCATGTATATACAGTAATCATACTAGTCATTCAAAGCCTTACAGAAGACTAACACCCTGCAGCCAGCACTGTTGTTTTCGTGTTTCGTATCGATTCTCTGCTGGTGCCGAAGGCGAGGACGACGACAACGAAGAAGCCGAGGATGGTAGCTTCGATGAAGCTGTTGTCCTTTTCAACACAAGGGACTACTACAAGTGCCATGACTTCCTTGAGTCACTTTGGAACAATGCTGAGGAACCCACCAGAACTCTTATTCATGGCATTCTACAATGCGCTGTGGGATTCCATCACCTATTCAACCAGGTTGTTATTAGTTTTGAATTCTGACTGATCACTGCCATTTAATATATCCATTATAATTAATTTCTAGCCTATGTATATATATATATATATATATATATATATATATATATAATATTATTATGTTTTGTTATATGCTTACAAATTGGTTAGTTACAGTTAGGTTTTGATTGTTGTGGTTAGAATCATAAAGGAGCCATGATGGAGCTGGGAGAGGGACTTTGTAAGCTGAGAAAGATGAATTTCAAAAGTGGTCCATTTTATCAGTTTGAGCAAGAAATCTCTGCAGCTCTGGATTTTATTTATCAAACACAGATAGAGTTAGCTGCCTGTGGGTTAATTTCTTCTCCTTTCAAATCCCATTTGTTCAATTTCATATGGCTCAGTCCAACCCAGAGACACCCAAAAACTATCTCTGAATTTTCTCTGGACACCCGACTAGATTTAGAAATATGCAAATAAATGGATTCTTGAGCAGCTTTTACTTCTTTTGATTTTATAGGTACAGAGGATCTCTGTGTTACAATGGATCAATCAGAGAGATCATACCAACTTCTAGGTGGGTATGCTGCAGGTCAGCTACTATATACCCTGCAAAGTGACCCAAATGAAACCATGTATATTGTGTTCTCCCCTCACAGGTCTTATGACAGTGAGCCACCAAAGGTTAAGCTTCCAACCCTCAATGCAACCGCAGAACATCTCGTGGCCTGTCAATATAAGTGATTCTTGTTTTGAGACTACCTTTTAGGTTTTTGTACCTTGATCAATTGAGTACGATGCAAAAAGGAACCCAAAGATTGGTCTCACAAATGTTCACTTTCCAACCAATGTGCTAAAACCGGCTGATTTAATCCAATCCTATCTAATTCAATCTGATCGATTTTAATGACTTCGGGGAATTTGGATTGAATTGCTAATTTCAAAAATCAACATGATTGAATCAGAGGACGAATTTTCTTGTGAAAATCCAATCCGATTTAATTCGTCTCACTTCTTTGGTCTTACAAGAATTTGAAATCAATTGTTTCAAAGCGGGGTAAGTCTTGACGTGTTGAGGCCTTACCCTTAAAAATTGTGAGCATGCCAACAGTATTATCACTACAAACAGCGTAGGGAGTAGAATAAAATTATGAATGATTAATTCTACCATGTTAGAGATTTCAAGGTTTGAAAGAAAAATACCGGCTGAAAAGGGTGTTAACGCTCTAGAATTGGACTAACAAGAAAGATGCCAAAGAAAAGAACGGTATGGCTTAGACATAAACCGGCCAAATCAAACCAAATCAAACCGCACTACAATGAATTTTTTTTCGATCTCACCAAGGGTGTAAGTTTAAACCAAACCAAACCAATCCATCATATAGTGATTGGTTTGGCTGCGGTTGAGTGTGAATCCATCACCAAGGGTGTTAGTTTAAACCAAGCCAAACCAATCCATCATACATAGTGGTTGGTTTGGCTGCGGTTCAGTGTGAATCTAATTCAAATCGGATCGTGCCCACCAATACCATAAACCCACAACAAAACCAATATCATAACGATATTGCAGCTTCGACCCACAATAAATATAGTTGGATATTACAATGTTGTATAGTAAAACATCATGCACACCACCATTTCACTATGTAAAACATACTTGTAACACTTATAATGAAGTCACTGACTTACATGCTAGAAAATACAAAATGGGATTACTGAAGGCAAGCCTAAATCTGGGACCATGGAAAACCAATGATACCTCAACTACCATTGACTGTTTCGGACAATGCCAAGCAAAACTTAAACAAGCTGTTACTGATAATATCCTCAACCATGGGGCAGATAACAATTAACAAGTAATTTCTGATCACCTCTCCTTTGTTTTCACAGGAACATCTCTGTACATTTTCACTTGTTCCTTCAAAGTATCCCGCCGTGGTATTGCTACCTTGTTGTTTGGATCAAAAAGAAGTACTTCTTCAAATGCTTTCAGAGCAGCCTTAAAGTCCTTCCTCTTTTCATAGGCATCACCAAGGTTGTTCCAAGCTGTGACATAGCCCGGCTGAAGCTTCACAGCAGTTTCAAACTGCGTAATTCCCTTAGCAAGCTTACCTTCACGGATATAACTGACACCAAGGGCATTGTAAACCTATTCAAATATATGACGTGAAAAATAATATCAGAACTCAGAAGCCAAGCCCAACAAGATGATGCAATAAGACATAGTCTAATTTAAATGGTCTTAATTTTCATTCACTTTTGTCCAAGTTTCTATATGACTTGCCATTATGCACGGTCAGAGGTTTCACGAGCTTTCAGAGATGGAAATACAACACAAACAGAACTTAGAACAGTATTCACAAATGACCAGACTGAACCTTTTCTAATCTTTTGTTGCTACGTCACAAAATGTTCAACGAACAGGAATCAAAGAATTTGTTAAGAGCAATACCCAAAAATCGTGAAATTATACAACTACTAGTTTTTTAAACCCAGTTCTAGTTTCTGCCAGATGGTGCCATGCTATTCCTAAAGTGGGGCACATACATGTGGCAACAATCGCAAGTATTCCAATAACACAATTCTAAAGCCATTTTGTTTGTTGGATCTAGTACAATGTGCTTTAGTTGACAATAAAATTGCAAACTGTGTATTTAATATCCAAGAATACATCACACCTGAGCAAGGTCTTGGTCATCCCCATCCCATTTTTCAATTGCCTGAACCAAGTACTTAATAGCAGCTGGATAAATTTTCCTTCTCAGCATTACTGCTCCAAGTTCAAAAAGCTCAGTTGCATCAGCATCACCGCTTCTTACCTGCTCCTGGTATTGAGAAAGACAGAAGATAATGTGAGCAACTGGTTGTAGACAGCCTCTGTTCCACGTCCATTACAGTTATAAAAAAATATTAATGAATTTAATGTCTTCATGTAGTGCTCAAAATTCAGGTTGGATGTGTAGTAAGTGCCAAGGTTGAAGCAAAGTATGCTGACCAACAATGCTGGACAGAAAATACAGGCTCAAACCTGCAATTCTTTGGCAGAAAGATCAAGTTCTCTACGTACAAGCACTTGACGAATCACAAAGAAGGTTCCAATCCCAAGAAATGCCAACAATATTAGCAAGTACGATAGCTGGATTCCTAATTCAAATAACTCCCCCGTCTCATAAACGACATTTGTTTTGATAATATCACGTGATTGTGCCATTGGAGTAGAGATAAGCCATAAGCTTTGTCCAACTAAGAATGCAGATACTGGTACACATGGCCTCTTCATGACTTTAATAAGCCCAGTAACCAAAAGGTTCTCAAAAAACTCTGCAATAAAATGATGATATACAAAGATGATTCCCAGCAACTAAATAAAAAGTATCTATCTACTTAAAAGATTGTATTGAAAAAAATAATTTCCAGAAATTCTAGACACAAATCCTATCACATTTTGTTCCTTGCATGAGGAGTCCCTCAACAAGTGGAAATACAAACAACATAAAATGATACAGAAGTCACCACAATGATACAAAAATTTAAAGATGTCATATTCATCTTATAGTGAAGATATATTACGAAATTGTACTGGATTGATCAATTAAACTTTTCTTTCCTTCTAAATTGTTTTCACATCTGTTAAACTTATTTTCAAGTTTCATATGTAACCTTTTTTCTTTTGGTAAATTGTACACATGCACATTAAACTTGAGAAAAAATAAACAACGTGCAATTTGTCACCTAGTCTTTAGTTGTCGATCTGAATACAAATGTGTGTCCCATCTGAATCTGTGCTTTAATTTATTTAATAAATAATCATTAAATAAGAGAAAGGAAAAACAGAACTAATAAAATAAAATTTGAATATTGTGTGAAGAACTTAATTTGTATAATATTATCCAAATTCACACAGACACAGGTAAACAAACACACAAACACTCATGCGTTGTGTGATGTAAACTGCCATCAATTACTATTTGTAGTTAAAATCACCAGTCCTGATTAATAAATCAATTTAGAGCTGTTTGTGATCCACAAACGAAACATTTAGGTTATATTATGATACCATGTTACAAGAACTATATAGAACCCCATAAAAGTTAACACTTGTATAATGTCCATGTGGAGAACAATATTTTTGGAGAATAAGAATTACTCTGCAAATTTTTTGAGGTAAGACCTTCCATTGATAGTTCTTCTTGGAGTAACTGCCTTCACCCACGATTGAACAACATATTAGTAAAAACAATTGTTAACATGCATGATCCTTAAAAAAGCTTCTAGAAAAAAAAAGATGGAATAAGAAAGCTAACAAAACAAAAATTCAAATAGATGTTTATAATCAAACATTGTTAAAAGGTACGGTCATGAAATTATAGAGAGACTCTGTCATCTCTTTATAATTTTAGGAGAACCACTGCACAAAGTAGAAAATATAGGGTATGGATGCACACTGACAGTTATGCAAGTGAAAAATGAATTCAAATGTTTCCTAATGGATAATTGGTTCAGTTCTGCCTAAATATGCCTTCATGTGAAGGGAATTAAGAAGTAAAAATAAACAGAGAAGAATCTGATATCTCTGCATCAGTACTTCAAAGTTTTACTTGAAACAGACACACGAGCTCATGCGCACTCACACACAGAGTAACACATGTTGAAATAAAATGATTCTCATTGTTTTTTGATTAAGTTACATCAGTAGCTTATATACACAAGCTTTGTACCTAACCTATAACAAGATTACAGATGTCATAACACGGTTCTAACTAAGACTTAACAAACTTTGACTGAGCGTTGAGACCTAACAAACTTTGACTGAGCGTTGACTCTCTCTTTTAACTTCTCTAAGCTTGCTGTTGAGAGATCCTCTTTAACACACAGCCACACATAAGCATGCCAAAAAGGGTCAACCTAGAAGAGATGTTTAAGGGATGGACACCAGGCCTTCAAGGCTTCAAAATATGGAAGCAGAAGGACAACGGTTCCCTTGTAGTAGTAACATGAACCATTCAAAGCAATAAAAACCTCATTCCATAATTCAGACCTACCGCTCCCTGGCTTCAATGATTGATATCTTAGGCATCACTCCAGATCAAAAACAAAACAATAAAAAGAAAATTCAAATTCATATGCAAATTTAAAAAAACAAATGAACAAAAAAAAAATCGAACTACATATATAATAGTCATGGAGAGTTCAATTTATTTACTTCTTTTAAATTTTCAGCAGTTAAAGTTTTTGGGTTATGAACCTTTTTCTGTTCCAACCATAAAAATTCACTTTCAGAGCTATAAACTCAATTAATGTAAGGCAAAAGAAGCAGCTTGTGAAACAAATTCATCGCAAGTTTGGTTCGTACTTGTTCCTGAAATCAATTACTCATCACCACACAGAGAAACGCGGCTCATGTCTGGAAATTGTTAAGAAAAAAGTAAATAATACCTCGACCTCCTTGAGCTCTCGAACCCCCTCCTCGATCTCGCTAGTTTGGGTTTGACTGTGGGAAGCCATAGGCACGAACTTGACGGACCGGAGGGACGGCAGGTGAGAGAGCCGTAGAGAGCTGAGAGTGAGATACGGTGCCGTGCTGCTCTGGCCTTGTCTACACGAAACGTATGAAGGTTTTGGAAGGTTTGGCGAAACAGTGGTGGGAAGCGGTATAAATGGTGCTCGCAAAGGTGGAGTTCTGAGGACAGTGGCCATTGGAGAAGGTCAGACCGTCAGAGTGGGAGAGATAAGGGTGGCGATATTGAAAATGGGAGTGGAATTAAAGATAGTACTG